TTTGGGTGCTGAAGGCAATACATAAATTTATAGTACCTTTATTATTTGTACGAAGCAAAACTGGATCAGCGATTTGTCCAGAAAGCTGTCAACAAAATAGCCATCGGCTTTAAGCTGGTCGAAATGGTCCATCCAAAACTGGGCACATTCACTTCTTAAAGTGCACCATCATTGTTCTATCCTTTGATTTCCTGTACTCGGACCGAGAATAGCAGATTCAAAACCATTTTCATTCTCGGTGTTGTGCATAAATCTTTGCATCGCNAAGTCATGTTTTTGATGAGGAGGATTTCTGTGTCTTCTGTTGTCATGAAGGACAGCTGTCAGTCATCCAGAGTTCAACTCTCAGGACTATAAACTCCCCCAGAGCACTGGAGCATGGAGCTGCTGATGGTATCTAGTTAATTTGCATTTCTTATTCTAGTTCATTATGTAAAGCCTTTTATGTTTAGTGTCCATAAATAATTATTACAGTACCCTGGATAATCACATTTATATATATATATATATATATATATATATATATATATATATATATATATATATATATATATATATATATATATATATATATATTCCCTCAGCCCATCACTGATCATTTGACAGAGTCTTACATAAAGATTAGTAATTCCATACACATCATCATTTCCAGTCTGTGCTCAGTCATGAGTTCAGTACATAAGTGAAAAACGTCAAGATCACAGGGAAAGTCCTTGAAACGACATTCCTCTATGCATATTTCCATCTTTGTTAGATTAACAGACTGCAAAAAATTGGGAACCCCATACAGGTTGGGAACACCATGCATTATTGTGGGACAACCATGAAGAGCCTGAGGATTATTACGTAGACCGTATACGATGGTCATTCCATGCCTGGACAACTTCAAGCACCACCTGTTTGATAAAATAAACAGGAAAAAAATATTAAAAGAGTTGTTAGAAAAAAAGTAATGCTTTTGTAATATTTGTTATTTATTTCACATTTGGGTGCTGAAGGCAATACATAAATTTATAGTACCTTTATTATTTGTACGAAGCAAAACTGGATCAGCGATTTGTCCAGAAAGCTGTCAACAAAATAGCCATCGGCTTTAAGCTGGTCGAAATGGTCCATCCAAAACTGGGCACATTCACTTCTTACAGTGCACCACCATTGTTCTATCCTTTGATTTCCTGTACTCGGACCGAGAATAGCAGATTCAAAACCATTTTCATTCTCGGTGTTGTGCATAAATCTTTGCATCGCTGCTGCCACACAATTGTCTCTGTGCCATGATCCATTCGTATCTTTTGTGGAAATCCATTGTACTCCATCACAACATCAATAAAATAGCCAGCAATAATGTGAGGGTAACTATTAGTCTTGTATGCTTCTAGCCAGATCATTTTCCTTGAAAAGCCATCTATGCATCCATTAATACATATCCCATAAGGCTTTAATTTGTCATACCCATCCATGTGCCAGACATAGTTTGGTCCCCGACTGACATCTAAACGTCATCTCAAGCGATTTTGTGCATGCAGGTCAACCCCGTGGGGATCCAATAGGTGCAACAAAAGACGTACGGTTTCCCTGTCTGTGACTATGACAGCCATCCAACATTTCTGGTGCATCCACCTGTACTGTAGCCGTGCTGTCTCCCAGATCCATGTTGCTGAATAAAAGAGGCCACTTCTGCAACATCTGTCTTATTTTTTCTAAGCCAAAGGCGCTTCTTTTGCAGTCTTCTCTCCAGCGTCCGGAGACTTAATTTAATATTATGGATTTCTTCCAAAACTCTCAAGATTTCATGATTAGTAAAACCACCTCTGAAGTATTGCTCATTTCTATCATCAATATCCATTTCTCTCTATCAAGTTGAGCGTATCTCATACTATAGCACCACCTCAAGGTATCTCATGAGATATTATCTCAATATAATGAGATAGTAACTAAAAAATAATGACATAGCATCTCAATATATTGAGATACTATCTCATTACATTTAGCTACTATCTCACTGTAATTATATATATATATATATATATATATATATATATATATATATATATATATATATATATTTTTTTTTTTTTTTTTTTTTTTCTTTTTACAGAGTGGCGTAAAAGGGCTTCCATAAATATGTAAATGTTACCTTGCATTATAATTAAAATATTTTCTCTGTTTCCTTTAAATATTTCAACATTTATCATATTCATTAAATTTANTTCCATAAATATGTAAATGTTACCTTGCATTATAATTAAAATATTTTCTCTGTTTCCTTTAAATATTTCAACATTTATCATATTCATTAAATTTATGTCAGGAATACCGTGGCATTATAAGGCAATTATATATATATTCTATTCCAAACCAAGAAGAATTTTTTTTCTTTGTTTTCTTTTTGGAGCTATGAAGATTTTATTTATCTGTATATAATACATAATTCACAGTAGATCAGGAAGTGTTTGCTTTTGAATGCAATCCTTGTATGTCTAAAACTATTCCTCTATTGTACACTTTGTTAGCTTGTCTTTAACCAAGATTATGTGTTAAACTAGATCTGCTATTTTCACAGCTTTTGTGATACACTTTTTTAAAAGTAGGGCATTAAATTATAAAAAAGTTTTTTTGCATTCTTTAAATCAAAATGTTCTGCCCAACAGCAATGATGAACTGCATGGCAACATTCTATACCCAGCAATTTAAGCATCTAGGCAAGAGCTGCTAGTCTGGTAAAAAATCTTGTTGTAATTTAAAATTGTAAAGGTTAGCTGTTTTTTTAAATGTGCAACATTTAAACTGACTAAAACTAAACTAAAAACTTTTTTTAATTTAGTCGACTAAAACTGAATAAAACTATCATATATTGTAATGAATAAAATGTGACTAAAACTAATAATAGTTTTCGTCCTGAAGACTAAGACTAAATCTGAGATGGCTGTCAAAAACAACACTGTTTGGATGGGTAATTGCTTCAGTTTATCCTCTTGAATTTTTACCTGGGCTCCGTTAAGTCAGTTATTCAGGTACTACCTGTAATTGTTTAGATGATTATAATTTTAATCCTGTAAATATGTGCAACGTGCCATGTGAAGAATAGTTTTTTATTTTTTGTAACAGTGGCCAAAGTGGCCATGGAAATTACAAAAGCTGAAAACTGGAACACATTTTTCTCATAGATTAATTTACCTCAACTCAATAAATGTGAGCTTTGATGATATCTGAATTTACCATAAGTTCTACTTTCATCCTTAAATTCAGTTATACCCTCAAGTTTTCACAAATATGTCTCCAACAGCTTTGGAAATGTAGAGAATGTTTGCTTGTCTTCCTCTGTGTTTGTTTTCTTCCTCTTCTTAGTTTTATCTTTTCTGTAATTTTTTAACAGGTGTTTATGAAAAAACCTTATTTGATTGATTGATTGATTTACTTTATTGATCTCATAGTGGAGTAATTAACTGGCTACATCAGCTTAGACACTCAAAGAAGAAGAAGTAGGTTTCAAAGGAAGAAAAAATCTTTTTTTTCTCTCTTTTTAATAGGATTCATTGTCTTAGTAAAGTGTAGCTAGAACTAAAAAAACATAAAATACAAAATATAAATCTCTTTAGATTAGTCACTTTATGAAGTCAATATTTATGTTGGTATTAGGGTGGAAAGGCTATTATTTTCATGTCTGTCCAGGAGTACACGGCCAAGGATTTTCCTGCAACTTTACTTCCTGAAGATATAATCTATAAAAATTATTTCTGGCAAAATTTTGGTTTGGTGCCTAAGTTTTGTTTTCTTTTAGAAATATGTAAAAACAGCATTCATGCAGAGTTGTTTATGCAGTCATAGAGCCGTGCTTCAAACTGTCAGAGGTTTTTGTACGACGGCTCAACGAGTTTGTATCACTGTGGTACACGTTTGGTGGAGGAACCAGACTGCAGGTTGGAAGTAAGTAAAATTTTATTTACAATTTCTTTTTATTTTGGTTTATTTTCTTTATATTTCTTTCATAACAAAGCAGTTGTAAAAACGAAAGAAATAAATGTCATTCATTTAGAAAAAACCGGGAAGGAGACCATAAGATTATGTTAGATTTTTAAATCCAAAAACACAATAATATAATATCTAAAAATTACCAGCGGATGGACTATTGACTATGCTTTAGCTTTAGAAATTTAATCTGGAGATCCAGGATTTAGTTTAATCTGAAAAAGTCAGCGAGCCGTTCCTCTATACAGTCAGAGGTTTTTGTACGACGGCTCAATGAGTTTGTATCACTGTGGTGGACTTTTGGTGGAGGAACCAGACTGCAGGTTGGAAGTAAGTAAAATGTAATTTTTTTATTTTCTTTTGGTTTATTTTCTTTGTCTTTCTTTGAAAACAAGGTGACTGTAAAAAAATAAAAATAAATAAACAATTACATAAATATCATTATTTTAGAAAAACCCTGAAGGAGACTGGAAGATTGTTAGATGTTTAAGTCCAAAAACACAATAATATAGAATGATTATCACTAGATGGATTATTGACTATATTTTATCTTTAATAGTTTAATCTGGAGATCCAGGATTTAGTTTAGTCTGAAAAAGTCAGTGAGCCGTTCCTCTCTACAGTCAGAGGTTTTTGTACGACGGCTTAATGAGTTTGTATCACTGTGGTGGACTTTTGGTGGAGGAACCAGACTTGAGGTTGGAAGTAAGTAAAATGTTTTTTTTTATTATTATTTTGGTTTATTTTCTTTATCTTTCTTTGATAACAAGGTGACTGTAAAAAAAAAAAAAGATAAACAATTAAATAAATATGATTATTTTAGAAAAACCCTGAAGGAGACTGGAAGATTGTTAGTATTTAAGACCAAAAACACAATAATATAGAATGATCATCACTAGATGGAATATCGACTATGTTTTTGCTTTAGTAGTTTAATCAGCTTTTAATTTAGTCTGAAAAAGTCAGTGAGCCGTTCCTCTCTGCAGTCAGAGGTTTTTGCACGATGGCTCAATGAGTTTGTTTCACTGTAGTGGACTTTTGGTGGAGGAACCAGACTGCAGGTTGGAAGTAAGTCAAAGCTTTTTTTAGTTAAAGACTTAAAATTTCATATTCATTTTAACAGGTAGGCTGAGACTTGTTTTAATTTTTTTAATAAAACAATTAACCTTCAACTATATGATGATAAATGACTGATAGATTATTGACTCTTTTTTTACTTTAGTAAATTTAATCTCGGCTTAAAAATAGAGTCTGAAAAAGTCAGAAAGTTGTGCCTTTCTTCGGTTAGAAGTTTTTGTAAACCTCTGTTAAAAGTAAGTAAAAAGTTTGTCCGTAACATTTTGAAACTATACAGAAAACTTGATACTTCTGTTTTCTACTGATGTGTAGAATCATAAATTGGCTGCTTGCTTGACTTTTAAAATGTACTTTAAGTTAAATAATAGATAACAATGTATAATTTATTTGAATTGTAACGTTACCTTTTTTAATGTCTATAGTCAATAGAATTTGCCTTCCTGTATGTTTAAATCTACTTCAAGTCCTAAATTTTTTATTCAGTTTTAACCTGAAACAAGATATTAACAAAAATACGATAAAACCAGTAAATGTCTTATTAGTTTTAATTTTCAATGTATTGCAATTCTAAAATGTTAAGATCGAGTTTTAATGTATTATTTTTAGAGTTTTATGATTCAAAAGAGCAAAGATAGTGGAGCTTGCAAAACAAAAACAAAAAAATATATCTGCTAAAGTCTGTGTGAAATATTTAAGGTCAGAATATATTAGGATGATAAAGCTGATGTGCATGAGAAGTTTTAAGAGGAAGTGAAACAGTCAGTAAAGAAGTGACCGTTGGAGCAAAGAGACATCTGGCAGCAGCATCCTTGCACAGAAGATCACTGCTGTCACATTAAATTTGCTTAGATGTTTCTGTATGATTCACAGATTTCTGATCCATGTGATCTAAACGTTTTTGTGTCTCGTAGGTGATACCCGCCCTGTCCTGACAGTGCTGCCCCCCTCCAGTGAGGATCTGCACCAGGGGAAGGCCATCTTCATGTGTCTGGCCAACAAGGGCTTCCCCTCAGACTGGAGTCTGTCCTGGAAGGTGGACGGCAGCAGCAGCAGCAGCAGTTGGGAGGAGAACAACAGCCGAGGAGTGCTGCAGAAAGACGGCCTCTACAGCTGGAGCAGCACCCTGAGGCTCCCTGCAGACCAGTGGAGGAAGGTGGGCTCTGTGACCTGCGAGGCCACCCAGGGCTCCCAGTGTCCAGTGACAGAGACACTGAAGAAAGACCAGTGTTTCTAAAAGGATGCATTTTTTTTTCTTGTATTTTCTGTTTTTCACTTCACCGGCTTTTGTTTAAGTGCTAATAACTTGAATTTAAACAGACTGATTAAATGTAACAAGCAATAAAGTTTTAAAAAATAAATTTTGTCACCAGTTTGTTTTGTTTTGCCCTTTGTCAAAATTACAGCAGACAGTAGTTAGATTCTGAAGGAAAACCTTTAAAACCAAAATCTGTTTTATCTGCAGTTGTGCTAAATTTGTAAGTTAATTAAGGTTTATTGTCATAGCACCTTTCTCAGACAAGCGTCATAAAGTGCTGTACAGAATAAGGCAATAAAATACAAAGCAGCACAATATAAAATACATACCAGCAAATAAATACAATTATAGCACGAGGCATCAAATACAAAACAGCACCATTTAAAACTTTGTGCGTTCATGCATGTGTGTCTGAAATAGAATTAATTCAAATCAAAATAAATTAAAAAGTCCCACGAAAACATATTTGCATTATAATAGATGTCAATACCATTTTAATGAAATACTGTTATGTAGTAAAAATTTGTGATTTTTTTTTAATTATAAAATATTTGTTAAATAAAACATGAACAGAAATATATTTGATATACAAGATATCTTAAATAAAGAACAAAGGTGAGGATATTTTTCCACAGTTCCAAAATATGGTAATTTAGAAATATGTATATTTCAACCTATATATTATTTGGTAGATGGATGTTATCTGCATGCATAAAAGCATCTAAAACACATTTTATCCGCCATAATGGTATATAAGATAATGTAAAGCAGTATTTTTCTAAATTATTTTGAAATATATTCATTTTTTATATTTATCCTGATGTGCTGGGAGTGTATGAATCTGAGACATCGATTAGAGCCTCCATCCATCACAGTCTGTGGCTGAAAAGGCTCCTTTAAGCTTTTCCCAAGTTTCCTGTGCCTATTAATGTAAGGTAGCGCACTCTGTGATATTTGCAGTTATTTCTCACTTGGGCTTAATTTAATCAAGTCTCACTGTAGTTAAAGGTTATTCCCCTCAAGACAAAACAGTCTTTCAAGGGCTAACATACATGCATGGTGCTGCAATCTACTGTAATGTAGATAAAGGAAGACATTTTGTACCATGACAGCCTCCGTATTGTTGGTGAGGAGAGGCAGCGTGGCAGGGCGGTCCATGTCACTGCAGTCTGACCATTAGATGTCATCAAAATGTTAAGCTTGTTATACTGCGTCATTGTGCATGAGCCAGCTGCTAATTGTTATCCATTATTTGTGCTATTGTTGCCTGTCAAAGCTCATAACCTTTGTTTTCACTGTTTAGAGTACCAGGTTTCTGATCCTAGCCAGATTATTTTTAAATGGTTCCTGAACTGCTAAAGAAATGTGGCTGTTTGGTAACTTTAATTTACTAATTTCAGCATTATTTGTTTGCATATAGACCTTGATGGGATAGACTCAGCAGGTGGTTCTGGAAATTGTATTTTTTTACAGTGCTACATTGGGATCAAGGAATAAACAAAATAGAGAAAATACAATTCCCTTTATTTTCATTTTTTAAATTTTTTTGGGGGGGTTTAAAAATTATATGTAAGATTTAATGCATATTTGTATATGTGTGCATTATTCTCTGCTTCTTTCTGTATGTCTGCTTCTGTCTCCTTGAACCCCATGGGGCCAGGTGCCTGCGCCTGGTTCTGCTTGAGGTTTCTTCCTGTTAAAAAGGAGTTTTCCTTTCCACTGTCGCTACAAGCAAGCTTGGTGTGAGGGATTGCTAAGGAGTCAATGGGTATTTGGAATCAGCTGGTTTTCCTTAGATAGAAAACTTTGAACCAATATGACCTGGTCAAATTTTCTCTGTAAAGTGCTTAAGGTGACATGTGTTGTTAATTGCCACTAAACTGATAAACTGAACTGAATCAAATTAAATTATTCAATGTGTCGTACTGTACATTAACAAAACATTTTAATCCTATCTAACTAAGCAATCTCAGTGATTAATAGCTATCGCTCGTCATTCCAGCTGTCATATACAGCTTGATCATTATTTACAGAAAAATATTTCAGAAACAAGTTTTCATAATAAATTCATATGAAAGCTTTTAAAATGAGAAAATTAAATTGTCAAGGTTCTCTTGGAAGTGCAATACAGTATAACTTTTAATGAGCATGGTGGTTGCAGAAATTGTGTTTATAAACATATTTACCTCCTTAATTACATATGTAAACATGTCTGTCAGAGGACCTTGAGTTAGTTCTATAAAACCAGATTTTTACAGTCACTGTTGTGCGTTTTTAGGTGTCTGCATCAAGGGTCAGCACGTTCCGTGCCATTATCCTCTGTCACTAGTGCAGGCTCATCTATTTCACCTTCACCCAGAAGCAGTTGAACACAATGGCAGAAAGAGGGCAACCTTAGAAGGCAGATATGGAGAGGCTTTTGAAGGATTCCAGAATGACTCGTCTCTCAGGCCTTACTTGCTGTGGTTACAGTATTTTTTTTATAATTGCTGCCATAGTAGTCCGTCCTGACTGCAGGGGACTTAGAGAAACATCATTCTGGGTCAGTGTAATATTTTGCGTATCAATAGGGGACTTTATTGGGCTCTTCCTGATATGAAAAAGGGGAAAACAAGAGAAACAGGAAGGGGGTAAGTCAGCAAATATATTAAAACGGAAAGGAGAAACAGATGGCAGGAAGAGAGAAAAAGAAAAGCTTTAAATTGGTACTCTTAAGCAAACTTAGGCTTTTATTGAAATTTTGTTTTAAATCATTAAGTACAGCTTTTCAGACAGTGAATGAACATTTACTGTCAAACCCCCTATTGCTAAAAAAAAAAATCATGGTGGGAACTCTGAATGCTGTTTTTTTTTATTTGACAAACATAATAAAGACCTAATACTAAGTATACTAAATATTTTGCTATATATTTATTTTATGTTATTGTTTCTTCCATGGGGCAGCACGGCGGAGTGGTGGTCAGCACCATCGCCCCATTGCAACAGAGTTCTGGGTTCGAGTCCTGGGGGAACCAGGACCTTTCTGTGTGGAGATTTCATGTTCTCCATGTGTCTGTGCGGGTTTCCTGCAGGTTCTCGAACTTCCTCCCACAGTCCAAAAACCATCAGGTTAAGGTGATTAGACATTCCCATTGTGGTTGTACCCCGCCTCTCGCCCATTGACTACTGGGATAGACTCCAGTACCCCTAATGACCCTATTAGGGAATAAGCTATTACGATAAGGTATGGATGACTAGAGCATGATGATGGTTTGCAGTCCAGTTTCAGTTCAGTTTTTATGACAAAGGTTTTTGTATGACCGTTTTTCACTGTGTGAATACAACCTTGTTGTTGATATGATGCTGACTCTTGCAGTAATAAACTGCAGCATCTTCAGCCTGAACTCCACTGATGGTCAAAGTAAAGGCAGAGTTTGATCCACCACCTGAAAAACGACTTGGAGTACCTGATACTCCGGTGGAGGTACCGTAAAAGAGCAATTTAGGGGTTTTTTCTGCTTCCTGTTGAAACCATGAAAAAAGGTAGTTGCCAAACGTGCTGCTGTAATGAACATTCTGACTGGTCCTACAGCTGATGCTGACAGATCCTCCCAGATTAGCTCTCACTTCTGCAGGCTGAGTCACTGTGACCTGACCTCTGGACTCTGAGGACACAAAGACAAAAACATAAAGCAGCTTCATGGTTTGTCAGCTTCATTTCAGAGGGACAGATGTTCATAGAGGAGAGGAGTTTGATTCTCTGGACTTTACCTGTGAAGCAGCAGCAGAGGAGAGTCCAGATGAGGACGCAGGTCAAAGTCATGTTTTAGATGAGGAGGATTTCTGTGTCTTCTGTTGTAATGAAGGACAGCTGTCAGTCATCGAGTGTTCAACTCTCAGGAATATAAACTCTCCCAGAGCGCTGGAGCATGGAGCTGCTGATGCAAAGTAAATCTCTATGGAAATACTGTGACTAACTCCAAGGCAGAGGCGTTGCCATTACAGTCCCCTAAAACAAATGCACTGCGTGAGACACTGTCTGATGCTGCTAATTTCATTTAACTTGGTTTTCAACAAAAAAATTGATTTTTACACAGTTTTTTAATTAAAAGAGTAACATTTAACCTAAATTCCTTTTGCTGACAACTAATGTCAACATCACTGATAGGAAAACATTTTTTTTGACTTATCAGGTTACAAATATTAATGAACAATAGTTCTTTAAACTCTTCTTACATATAGACATTGTGAAGGTTCT